TTGAAAAATCATCATAATTTATTTTATTTTTTAATTATGGCACATTCATTTTATCTTTTCATTTCACCATATCTCAGAGTAGGGGGAAAGATAGAGGGAACTACTTAGACTTCATGAGAAAGATGCGACAAAACACAAATTTTATATATAAAAGAAATTTCATACAACATTAAATAAACAAACAAACTTATCTGGAACTCTTCCTTAAAGCAAATCCTTTGTAGCCTTTTCTTAGAAATGCAGGAAGAAGAACTCTCTCATTTTTCTCCCTCTCCAACACTCTTACAGAAAGTTTCACACTAAATCTAACCACCAAAACTCTAAATTATGAAAGAAAAATCACTAATTGACTCCAATATGGTGGTGGAATGAAGATGGATTATGAAAATGTGGCATGATGGAACATTGTGGAGCAAAAAATGAACGTTGAGGAGCAAAAAAAGTAGAGAAGTCCTTTTTCTGATGAAATAAATAATACCCAAGGTCGGTTCTCCAAGAAGTGTCTCTAAAAACTCTTCAAAAATTGTCCAAATACATCGAACCTTCTAGAAATAGGGTCTGAACTGACCTTCTAGAAATAGGGTCTGACCTTCTAGAAATAGGGTCTGAACTGCCTTTGGCGCCGTCGGTGCTGAGTAAAAATTCTCCAGTTTTCGATTTTCTGCGCCTTCGGCGCTGACCTTGGCTCTGCCGTCGCTGAGTATTTCCTCAAAAACGTCATTTTGACTTCAAATTTCATTCTTTTTGCTTCTTTTTTGCTTTAAGCCATAAAAATCAACAATCTGCAAGAAAATATCAAAATACATTTCATTAAAGTGCAATATCACAAAAAATAAGTATAAAATATGGGTTTAAAAATGCATATATTTTTGGTGTATCATCTTCCAAAAGACAGATAAATGCCAGGCCAGAAAAACCAAGAAATGAACCAGTAATCCCAAAATAGAAACCAAAAGAAAAATTAGGATGAAGTATAGTTAAAATCTAAAATAAGGGGCTTCCAATAAGTCACTTTGTATAATAGTGTGCAGCAAAAGAGGAGGTTTATCCCAAACGATAGCACTATGCAATCTCCATTTAGCAAGCCAAGATGTAGAGGAGTTTCTCTCTCTATAAATGAAAGAGTAATGAATATTAAAGTTATGCATCTCAATATATAACCAAATCCTTCTAAAAAAAGATTTAATATACTAAGCAGGCTTAAGCTTAGCTGTGAGCATGTGATACATTGTTTCAGAATTAGTTTCCAGAACAATGCAATTTAAATTCAAAGAGGCAGCAGTCTGTAGTGCAGCAAACACTGCATAAGTTTTGGCTTTAAAAGAAGAAGTGGCAGTACAAGGGGAGGCAAAAAAAGCTTAACACTTACCATAAGCATCTCTAATCAAACCTCCCACTCTAGTATAATCAGAAGAATAGCTACCATCAATATTAAATTTAATCCAGCCATGGGGGCGTGGTGCCCATTTAATAAAAATTGGTTTTCTACCCCTACCCATAGAAAGAGAGGCATCCGTTAGCCCTCCGTTCCATTAGCTAACTTCCATGTCTTGTGAAAATGAGCCACAACTAATGTAGAGATAGTGGAAGGAGTGTGGCAGGGGTTCTCATACTTATTAGTATTTCTAGCCATCCAAATGAACCAAACCACAATAGTGGGAAAATAATAGAGCTTTTCAAAAGTAGGATCCAAGTCCTTCCAAATCCCAATAACAGTTTTAAATCTCAAATTTGAGGGCCAGTTGATACCAAAGTTGCTCCCTAAATGATTCCAAACATGTTTAGCAAACGAGCAATCAAAAAACAAATGATTTGCAGATTCAACATCCTTTTTACAGTTATAACAAAAGAAGCAAGTTTCAGGCCTTTTAGTTTAAGAATACCATCAAGAGGAAGAAAATTATGAAAATATGTCCATAAGAAAAATGAGATAGAGGGGGATATATATTTATGCCAAGTGTAGGCATTCCATTTCCAAGGAGTAAAAGTGTGCAATTTCAAAAAAAAAAAAAAACAACTTAGTAATAGAAGATCTACTTTGGAATTTCTAAAGTGGAACATCCTTTTCATGAGCTCTAATAGGTATAGTAGCAATGGCAGGAGCTAAATCACCAACTAAAGAATTAAGTTTAGCTAAATTCCAAACACCATCAATCCAACAATCAGAGATTAGTAGATTAGAATCATAACCTGAGTTTGACAAAGTATAATACGAAGAAATCCCCCATTCATCATTCCAGAAAGAAATGCAACCACCCTCAATGTCCCAAAAAATGAAATGAGAAGCCACATCCCTTGTAGAAATAATAGCCTTCCAAAGCTTAGAATCCCCCATCTTCCATATGGCCGTAGAAGGATGAAGATTTTTGCAATATTTATGAAGCATAAACTTAGCCATAACGACTCCCCCAAACAAAATTTGAACCAAAGTTTACACATATTAATATCAATAGTCTATTGCAATGTTTTAAAACCAAGCCTACCTGCATAACGAGGCCTAATATTGTACTGCCAATCTGTCCAAATTTTAGTGGATTTAGAGCCCTTCCAAAGAAATTTGTTGAAAATAGTCTCAAGATTCTTTTGTGTGCTTTTCTTGCTTTTAAGAACTTGCATAGTATAGAGGGGAAGAGTACATAGAACACTTTTCAACAAAGTGAGCCTACCACCATTGGAAAGAAAAGTTTTTTTCCAATCATTAATCTTAATTTTAACTTTATCAATCACATCATATATCTGAGTTTGCTTACTCCTGCCTCTAAGAATGTTAACCCCAAGATACTTTATAGGAAGTTTAGAAATTTTCCAACCAGTATAATTAAAAGCCCAGGTATGACTGTTAGAAGGGACACCTTTGCCAAAATAGATAGAACACTTAACCAATTTAAACATCATACCAGAGATGTTTTGAAAATCCTTTAAAAAGGACATGGTAGCTTTAATAACACATTTTCTAGCATTTTGGAACAAGATAACATCATCAACATAAGCAAGGTGACTCACCACAATCTTAGATTTATGGGAGAATTAAATATAAGAATGGTCAAGGTGCAGCTTATTGATGAGTCTAGAAAAGTAATCAAATGCAATAATGAAAATGGTGGGAGAAAGAGAATCTCCTTGTTTAATGCCCATGTTGGCAGAAAAAAAACCTTGTGCTTTATCATTAACCATCACATTATAGCTATTATTTGAGAGCCACCTCTTAATGAGTAAGCAGAAATCTTGTTGAAAGTCTTTAGCCTGCAAAATGTTAATAATAAAGTCTCAGCTAATAATATTAGAAGCTTTCTTAATGTCCAACTTAAGGACCATATTTTCCCCCTTGCATTTCTTATCCAGGTCTTCAATCATCTCCTGTGCTAAAAGGATATTATCAGTAATATCCCTACCCTTAATGAAAGTAGATTGCTGAGGAGCAATGATATGAGAGAGATGAGGTTGCAATCTGCTAACTATAATTTTACTCATAACTTTAAAAATCACAATGGTGAGAGATAGAGGATGGAAATTATCCTAGGAAATCTTATCATTACGTTTAGGTATTAACACAATTAATGCAGAGGTGAAATATTTACCAGGACTATCTCCAAGGAAAAAACTTTGTATAGCAAGAATAAACTCCATCTTAATAACCTCCCAAAAGTGAGTTTAGAAAGTGGAGGAGAAACCATCAGGGCCTGAAGCTTTGTTGAGGCAAATAGACTTTAAAGCATCAAGAATTTTCTATTCATCACAAGGATGAGTTAAATGGAGGTTATTAATGTAATTATATTCATCCATAAAGTGGGTAGAGTCCACAGACATAACATGAGTGGAGGTTTGAAAATGCTCAGTAAAATAAGTAACAACACTTTCTTAATATCTTCCATGCAAGTTAAAATGCGCCCATACCCGCTTTTAATTTTCAAAATACTGTTAATGTTTCTTTTGTGCTTTAGGGTGGCATGGAAATATTTAGTGTTTCTATCCCCCGCAGCAAAAGAAATATCATTAGTCTTATGTTGAAGAAGATTTTATTCTAAAGCAATAACACCCATTAACTAAATATGAGCCTGTGCAATAGTATCCATTAAAGTAGGAGAAACAACTAGTTGACTTTTCAAAGAATCAACAACGTTTTAAGCATCCTGCACTTTTTTATGAACATTAACAAAAATATGGTAATTCAATTTAGTAAAATGAGTGGTCATCTTTTTATTCAATTGCCACAGAACAAACTAAGGAGTCCCAACTCCTTCATACATCCATGCTTGATTCACCAAAGTCAAATAAGTATCGTGAGAAGTCCAAATATTAAGAAACTTGAAGTGAGATATGCTTGGTTTAACAATATAAGCCAATGTAAGCAAAATGGGATTATGATCAAATATTGAATAGCTCAAATGTTGAACCCGCATAATAGGAAAGTGTCTTAAAAAGCAGAATTAGCCAAATATTGATCCAATCTTTGATAAAGAAAACCTCTCCTTCATGTATAAGGAAGAGCCAGTGTAACCTAAGTCAAAAAGGCCTGCATTAGAAATAGAATTAAAGAACCTGTTAATAAGAGTAGGATCAACTCCCACATCTTTTTCTCTTCATATGTTTCATAATCATATTAAAAGTCACCACAAACAAACCAATCCTCATTAATGAGGCCTCCCATAAGCTCAAGTTTTTGCCAGAGCAAATATTTATCATGCAACTTAGAACTAGCATATATAAAAGTGCCCCACCCTTGGAAATCTTCAAAACTTGTTTGAGTTAAAACATATTGTTCCTCATCTTCAATAATGGAAAGAGAAAGAGTGACAGTGAGCTTCCAAAAAACCCAAATTTTGTTATTGATGTTGCAGTAAGAACGGTATCCTTTGAATTTATTCAAAATTTTGCTTTTATTAACATGAACCATAGGTTCCAAAATAGATAAAATGAGAAATTTATGGACCCTACAAAGATGTTTAAGTCAATTAAGGGAGTTAGGGTCTGCCACTCCCCTAATATTCCAAACCATAATTTTAAACATGATGACGTGAGCTAGCCCTTCTAGAAGATCTAGTAGGGTTGACTAATTGTTCCCCATCAGAATGATAAATGCCTTCCTGAATAATGTTGCTAGCATTAAGACTAGATAGCTCATTATTTCGTTTAGCCTTTTTTGTTGAATGTTTTTGAACCTGCCACTCATTGTCTAAAGTTTTGTCCACATTAGATAAAGTAGTACTAGTATCAACAGTAACAGGAGGAGCCCCAACTATAGTAGTGTAAGTAGTAGAGCTAGAGGGAATAGAAACTCCTTGAATATGTGTGATGTTATTTGGAATATTAGGATCTACTGGTAAGGCTGTTTCCACGAGTTCCATAGTAGCCACATTATCATTTAGCTCATTACAATCCACTGCCAAATTAGTACCATCATAGGTATTCAGTTGTTGAGGGATAACATCAGTGCATGTGTGTAATTCCTCATTGCCTAAAGTATCCAAGTTAGAAGTAGCAGTACTCAAAGGAGGATTTACAATTAAATCAACCACATTATCAATAGTAGATGGGAAATCCTGATGCTCTATAGGTTTATTGTTTTCAGGAGAGGTAGTATGTGGAGAATTATGGGAGTTTTTGAGTTGAGGCTTCAATTTATAGAAAGATGTTGTTTGATGACCGAACATAGAATAGTGAGTGCAGTAAGAAGAATGTCTTTCAATTTCAACAGGTTGCCAGTACCCTTGGTGTTGCGATCCTATCCAAATTTCATTGCAAAATGGCTGTGCTATGTCTCGTTCAATAATAATACAAGCTTTAGATGGTCTCGATAGCGTATAAGTAGCGCTATCCATTTTCAAAGGCTTGTCGTAAGCAGCCGCAAGTGAAAAGAGTATCTCATGATTAAAAAGATGTAGTTTAAGCCCTGGAAAACGAATCCAAACAGGTATTATAAGCAATTCGGTTTTAGGGTCAAAATTAACACACATACATCAATTCAGTTTTAGAGCAAAACCTAGCCC